GGTACACTATCAAATTGACTAGCTCCAAAAAATTGGGAATAGTTATAAAAAAAAAAAAACACCACGAAAGTGTGAAGAGAAAAGAAAAAGCATTGTTGTGAAATGCAGGATGGAGCAGCAGGATAGGTAGGCTCCATTCAACCATTCAAGGCTTCACTACACACTGCCTTCACACTAGAAAAAGTCATTCCCACCCTTCCCACTCCCTCACTCCCTGTGTGCCATATGAAATAACTATGCTTGGATTTTTAGGACATGGTTTCTCTGAAGTCAACATAAATCCTGAAGGTACAATAAAAGGGCCTAATTCCATAACATCCTAACCACAAGTTTTCAGAAATATTGTGTTAAGAAAGTATTTGGGTACTTTTTAAAATTTGTGTTGACTAAAAAGAGAAAACAAACAAATATCAGTAGAACTAGCACCAGGAAGAACAAGTCTGGTCATTTTCATACAAGAAAAAAACCTTGAAATTTAAAGAAATATTTCTGGTACATCAGTAGCTTCAATCTTTATAAAAATACTATGCATTTCAAACTAGAACTTCCACCAAAGTTTGAGTGGGTTTCAAATTTATCTACAATTTCTCAATTTTAAATTTCTGATACATAAATACTGCCAAAAATTCACTGAACTGTTAACTTTTTCACTTACAGACAGACACAATCCAAGATGTTGCAAGTTTACAAAAGAGAAGTCTTACTTTATATTATACTGCCCAGTTTTCAGAGTACACCTATCAGGAAGCTGAGAAAGTTTCTTTGACAGCATTTTAAAATATTTTCTACATTCTTGCATTCCCGTGCTCTGGTCATAATCAGTAGATGCAGACAGTGGGAGTCCATCCCTTACACGGACCACAGAGGCAGATAAAATCATAGACATTGCCAACAGAGTTAACGACAACCTACAACAAAACAGAAATCAGGAGGAGTCAGAATTAAGGTACAAGCAAAAACAGTGCCAACTGTGATTAATCAAACTTCCCCAGCTGTATACTGGGCTCAGGCTTAACAAGGAGGATTCTCAACTATAACTCAGAGTCCTAACTGAATAGGACCTATTAGACTACGCAAAGCAGCAGCACATCTGACATCAATGTTGCATTTTCAAATACTTTTATCTGAACTGCCATAAATCCTCATCTAGAGATACCTGTGGAGACTGAAACACTGTTACTTAGACTTGGTACTACTGTAGCACTTGCATCCTTCAAGCTGTGAGTCTTGTTTGGTGAGATAACAATTACAGTCTAAACAAACAAGAACAATAGCTGGAGAGGAAAAACATGTTGTAGAAACACGGCAGATGGAAAAGTGATCCAGGTCTTGTTCAAGCATTAATATTGATGTGCTTTCATGAAACTGTGTTACTGAGTACATGCTTAAAAGTACCCTGACATACAGACACACAACTCATGTACTATCTAACTATAGGAAATCAAGGATCAGGACAGCAAGGAATGTCATCCAGCTCTCCCAGCTCACAACGGAACTTCTTAAAAATGAAATGTCTTTTTTCTTATCTGGGTCTCCATATTCTTTAGATCGGCAAAATGTGATTATCAGTATTACACAAATACTGATCAGGTTGAAATGGCACTTGCAAAGCCTACACACTTTTACAGCATTTAATTTTCAAAGCACAATAATTAAAGCCTTGTGGAATACAGTCACATTAAAAAGTTGTGTATTTAAATATTTCTTGATCAGAAGGAGAAAATCTACACCAGGCATTTAACAGTACAAACACACAGCCTGCAGACGGTCTTTCAAGACTGAAGATAGTATTTTAAAACCTGCAGGTTTTTCAAACCTCAAGTTAAATCAGAACATCCAGAAGTTTAGCAAGACAAGCATCAAAAGAAGGATTACTTATCTGCTATGTATCGGTACACAGATTTGTCCTCTTACAAGTGGGCGAACTGCTAGAATTTATACGAAGCCAAAAGCAAACACTTCCTTAAACTCTTAACACTGCTCCGCAGACTCCTACCATACACTACACCTATCACTTCAGAGATTATGAAGAAAATAGATTTCTGCCTCCCTCAGACGATGCTACTCAAGTTCCATACAGTCACAAACTACAAAAGAAAACAGATTTCTGAATACAGCTGAAATATGCTTTTGTGTGTAATACTGACATGTTTACAGTACCTTTCAAACCATGACATTAAGGGTGCTTCAAAAGCCTTAGCAACTGTATGATCATATTCTGAAAAGTTAGGAATCCAAATTTTCCCACAATAGCACTGCCTCTTCATAAAAGAGAGGAAATAGCTATTTTTATCCCTGAACTCTCACCTCCCCTACTTCCCACTACCCAAAGATTATACATACACCAGGATACTTATTGAATAATAATCAATAGTCAGGTTTTTCAAAGCTATTTACTCCTTAGAGATAAAGAGGCATATAATAATGAAACCACTGAAAATGTGTCGTAATTTTCAATTTCAGAAATTCAGCTTCATCAGCAAACCTCAACCTGCTTTGAGATGCATCACATTAGTGAAACAAATTCCAAATTAATACCCTCATAGTTTACTTGTACAGCATATCAGACTTCCACCAAAGTCATAACAAGCAGAAGCCACTGTTGTTTGTAGTCTGCTGAATACCTCTGGGCTTTCATCAGGTACACTTGTTATTTCAGCACTTCACTACAGAATTCCCTGTTGTACAAAGTGCTTTGATCAGCTGGACACAGAAACAGAAAACAAAACCACTTTAGGATTGCTCTAGATTAGCTTGCTGGAGTGAAGCATTCAACAAATTAAACGTGCAATTCTAGACACTTTTACCTTTCTCTATTTAAGTTCATGCACGTGTTCCCAGCAGGACAATTCACATGGAATGCACACGGCACCCGTTTCCTTAACTGTGTTGCTAACCATATCACCACAGCAGCAGCTCAAGAGCATGACGGAGTTGCAGAGGAGCTTTAAGTTGTAATGGTTCTCCAACAATAACCATCTCTACCACTTGGAACTCAATCCTGAAAGGGATTTCTGGGAACTCTATCAATACAAGATCAATATAAACAACAACGATGTGACAGCAAACATTAATATTCCCCTCATTAACTTACTTGCACAAAATGTAATTTCATGGATCTGCATTTCCTCTGATGAAGCAAGTAACTTCATTAGCACCTAACGTGAAGAAAGGAACGTGGCTTCATGGCCTCTGTTAAGAAAAGGTAGTGAGTAGCACAGCACACTGCAGGAGAAACTCAGAATCCTGTAGCCAGCTCTCAGATGGAAAAATATTGTTCTGTTCACTTTCGAAATTATCTTGACTGTTAAAATTCATGTTGAGCTACCTGATGAGATAAGAACAAATAGAAAAAGTTAATAAATGTACTTACTGGCTAACAATATTCCTCAGCTCCTTTTTTTTCTTTTGTGAGGTTATGCTTATTGGAAAGGCCTGAACATACCCCAAGGAGATTACTCAGAGGTACTCAAGTAAAGAGAAGACCAGGATAATAGAAATACCAAAATGTTTCTATGTTCTTTAAGTGAAGTTGAGGAAGTTCCATCACTTCAGCCATTAAAAATAGGAAAATATAGATACATGTATACAGTACATGAGTAACTCAGGGTAACGCAACCTTTCACTCTGAATCCCAACATTCACCTCATACACTAAGCTTAATTAATCTATAATCTCCTCTGATCAGTAACCTGAACCCTTCAGGAACATAACAACACAATGACAGCTGTATTTCCAAAGCATTAAGATCTTCAATATTCAATCTAACAGTAATTGCCTTGCTCCTACAACTAAGGACAAAGAATTTAAATGTCTCTAACAACACTGTGCATGCACAGACAACAGACAAAGCAAAGGATAAAGACCCCTTTAAAGGTATTCTTTCAATATTTATGTCTATTCTATATGCAAATAAATAGATACGGCTCCATTAAAACCTGCCAATTCTCTTTGTGTAGTATGAAACCACATAAGGTAAAAATTGTGTTTAGATGCACAGCCTTGAGATCACCAACCAAGTTTTCTTACTAGCCACCCAACTAAAATATGTACTTCTTCCTCAGCTTCGAAAAAATGAAGCTAATAAGAAAATCACTTTGGCTGCAAGATCACGTATATGTTCAGAGATGCGTAATACATACACTGTAACAAAACATTCAACCTTACTTGAAAATGTAGTAATATAGAAAAAAAGTTTACTAAATCTTCAAAATTAAAGAGCTACTTCACACAGTTCTCAAAACAATAATGCTCCACAGAAGAAGCCACATGGTAGATTTGATATAGGCTTATATAGGTAGAGACTGAAGAAACAACATTAAAGATATTGTAATGTTTTTAGAACTATCTTTAAATGTCCTTTTTTGACATCTTTTCATAATTGCACAAAGTAACTCACCGTATCATTTCAAATTTCATAGGTTTTCCTCTAAAAATTCTATACCCATCAAACACATGAAGATGTCAAAAGACTGCCCTTCCACTACAAATGGTCTATAAATCCATCACAGTTAGACAGAAATGAAGAGGGATTGGGTTCACTATCTCATTCTGTGACAGAACTGCGGAGTATCAAATCCAACCGTGAGGTACTAGGCTCATGGGGACCATGACTCATCACAAAACATGGAGTTAGCCAGTGAAACTGCTTGTTACAGGATGTTGTAGACACTAAAATGTTATGTGAATTCAAGAGGCAACCGGAAAAGTTAACAGAAAAACGACAATGGTTACTGAAACTAAAACACTACCCTTTGCTCAGCAAGACTGACCCTCAAATGATGACGTGGCCTTGAATGCTTCCAGGGAGGGGGCATCCACAATTTCCCTGGGCAACCTGTGCCAGCGTCTAACCACCCTCACAGTAAAGAATTCCTTCCTAATATCTAATCTAAACCTACCTTCATTCAGTTTGAAACCATCATCCTATCACTACATAATAGTAATGGACAGTTTACTGTCCCCACTTTTGAGGGCTGTGAAGCTGTATCATGCAGGCAAGAGTCTTAATTTTTCCACTCTACGGCATATTTCGGAAATCCGCATTACAAACTAAAGCACTGCAGAAGGACACACCAACTAAAGCCACTTTGACATCATCAGGTATGATCAGACAAGGACATAATCCTAAACCACCAGGCCGTATAGCCCTCCCCATAAAACACAGGGAAAAGAGATCTTGGAAACAGAATCAAAATTCTGAGAAACTAAGGGAACAGAACATGCTGCATCCCAGTATTTGGGAACTTGACTCTTTAATCTACCACATACTTATATGGCAGCTTTCACAGGATCATTTGCACTATTTGGAAGGGCAGCCCAGAGCAGGAAGGTAATGTGGTTACTGACCTAAAGGGGTCTGCACTGCTGTGGACTGCAAAACTTCGTGCAAAAACACTGATGCCTATACAGCCAGTCAGGAGACTCACAGGTCCCTGCTACAACAGGCTTCTATAAAATTACATTTATGAAGAGGCCTGAGCTGCCACCGACGGCCTCCCGCACCTGTCCTGCCTGCTGCGCCCAGCACCGCTGGCTGCCAGCGGCAAACTTTAAGTGACAAAGCCAGAGGCAGCCGGTGCAGGGGGAGGTTCTCATCCAAGCTGATGAGCAAACGCAGCCGACTCTGTAAC